AAAGGTCGTAACATTTTAAATGTTATTAAACACTATTATCCTAAATATTTCTCTTTGTGTTTGAACCTTGTTGAACCACGATGGATTAATCAATTTGACTTTGGCTCGCTAACATCGAGGTCCGTGTTTGATACCAAAGTTCCTCGGATTCCGGCATGATTTCCCCTTGTCCAAGACACATTGATGTCCTCGGGTTCCGGCGTGATTCCCCCTTGTCCGAGAGACACAGGAGGTATAGGCGCTGGCTTGCTAACATGGAAGTCCGTGTTTGATAACGAGGTTGGCCGAGATTGTCCCTTGGATTCCGGCGTCAGACACAAGAGGGAGAAGGGGCTGGTCATGAACGGTGTGTAGATAAACCGAGGTCCCGTAGACACGTAACAGAAATTTTGCATAGACGTAATGAACCCATAACCGCCCTGGCAAATGTAGCAAGTTCTAATTTTAATTGGGCTTGTCTCCAAAGAGAATGTGAATTATATTAAAATGATCAGCTTTGAAGCAAGGCATGGATAGACGTTGCTCCATTGCTCCTCTCTATACAGAACAGTCCAAATTCTGCAATTTTCAAAAGACGTCTCTAGGTTTTATTTTTTTGCAACCTAATGTCATGATATTTTATCATGTAATTCACCTACTCGTATCTAATACTGTAGACTCAGTGGTGTAGAGGGGTTTCGTGATGTCCTGGCACTATTGATTGTATTCCCCAATACTCAAGTATAGGGCTTAGGGAATATTATATGCCCCAATACTCAAGTATAAGGCTTAGTACTCACAAATGTGAGATAGGAGATATTGTATGCTCCAAGACTCAAATATGGGGCTTAGGGAATATTGTATGCCCCAAGACTCAAGTATAGGGCTTGGTACCCACAAATGTGAGATAGGGGATGTTGTGTGCCCCAAGACTCAAGTATTACGCGAGGATTACGTTCCTAATCCTCCGTCATTTAAACATACATTATGTAAGAGCTAAAACTGCCTATTACAGGTCTTTCTTTAGGTCTTTAATGTTATATAAATTATTCATTAAACATTAATCAACTCTCGATACCATCGTTATCCGTCGATATTTAGTGGATTTGAATACGTTTTGTGATGATGAAATAACCGTAAAAATGGATAATCGAGACTTTGCTTATTATCGTAACAATAATTGTGGTAATGATGATGGAGGCTGGCCTAAAATTGACTCGCTAATATCTCGGTTTAGAGCCATGCAATTTGACTATTTTTTTAATTATTATAGCGAGAACTGTCAGCTCTCTATCTAATCTTACGGAATGCCCGTTTAACATTGATACGAGCGTAATTTCAAATTATTTCAGTCTTTGCTTGGATAACCCACCTTGTTTGGGTGGATTCCCAGGAAACCACTCCATTTGTCACTGTATAGACTATGTTCAGCATTATCTGTTTTGTACTTTTATTAAACCCGCCTATTTTATTTATCACAATTATTATTGCAAATAACCACAGAGGCGTTAAAAATGAATGAATCATTATTGTAATGTGCCTCAGAAGAGTTAAAATGGAAAGAATGTTCAGCGATACAGAAAATAAAATGGTTATTATTATTTTATGTGGCGTTTATTTAGAATACAACGTCATGCCAGCTCTTCTCAATATTACAGTACAGGCGTGGGAAAAATACATATTTCTGCTTTTAGTCTTTCAGCTGGTGGCTCGGTTAAACCAGCAATAAGTCTATGTTATTTAATACACCTATCGCTACTGTAAGACGTCACACGGTGGTTATCTCGTCTTTATTATCACCGTCAGTGCTCAGAACTAAGAGAGAGATAGAGGAGAGAGGGGGGGGGGGTAGGGTTTAACGTCCACTCGACACAAGCCAGGTCATATCGGGATTAACACACGGTTCAATTTTATTTCAATAATTCGCTTGCGCTTAATGGTCTTTTGCAGTGGGAGAAAACCAGAGGACCCGAAGAAAACCCAAGAGGTTGGACAGGCGACCCTACTTATTGTCACATACAACCGGGGAATCGAAACCACGCCAGTTGACTCAATGACAGACCTTATAATACAGCGCGCACGTGCTAACCATTCGTCTACCCCCCCCCCCCACACACACCCGAATTAAGTAACGAAATGAAATGAAATGGAGTTTAACGTCCTACTGTTCTGCTCCAAGTGGGCTAATGAAGACAGACATCCGGCATGCAGTATGTCCGGGCAGTGGCGCTACGGTCTACTGTTATATCGAAGTCCAACTGGCAGGTGATCTTTTACGTGTATGCTAATGTGTATACGGGTCCTTGTACCCCTCCCCCGTCCTGCACCACTGACAAGGGGAAACCACAAGCGTGTTCGTGACTCCTGTTCGTGACTAGCATTCGTTTTCTCTAGAAACTTCGGGGTTCTCCTAGTTCTAAAGACCTTATAACTTATAATTATATACGTGTTTAATTATATAAAGCACAAACGGATTGGGATTATCGTAACGAAATGTACCATTTGTCCCACAATGGCCTAGTCAGTGTTAAATGAACCTAGTATCTTAATGTATCGGGGCCCTTGGTACCAAGCTGTCAAGGCACAAGGGTCTCGAATAAAATGTCTAGGGTTCGAACCGCAGCTTTAGTTTTTACTTATCAGTTGTAGCCCTAGAGGGTAGTCGTTCGGATTGGACGAAAAATCGAGTGTCCGGCACTTTGCGCACATGTGAAGAATCCTTTACAGCTCAGACAAATCTCTCTCTCTCCCGCTCTCTCTCTCGCTCTCGGGGGGTTGGATGTCCGAATTGTCAGCACGTGCCCGCTGTATCATGCGGTCTGTCATTGAGTCAACGGTTGTACGTGACAAGGATTAGGGTCGCCTGTCCAACCTTGTGGGGTATCTCCCGGTCCTCCGGTCTCCTCCCACTGTGCTAAAGACCCCTACAAGCAAGCGAATTACTGAAATAAAAATGAACCATGTGTTAGTCCCGAAATGACCTAGTGTGTGTCAAGTGGACGTTAAAACCCACTCTCTCTCTCTCTCTCTCTCTCTCTCTCTCTCTCCGACTTTCCCTTACAATTAAAATTTAAAGTGGACTCCCTTGGAGTGGGAGTAACCTGGCAAACATTTATCTTGCTTTATTTTAAAATTACTTTATTTATGACAGTGAAAATATAAAATAATACTGAATGATAACATCAACAACTGTTATTGTGCCTTGTTATGGTCAACAGGATCAGCTTATTATAGATTATAGATCATTAATCAACTTAGTGATTCACCACCTGAACATTTCACTAATCCTCAATTTTGTGATCTGTTCTTGTTACCAAGATAAGATACTTACTTATAGAACATGACAATAAATACCTCACAGAGTTTAATTAGCTGATTTTTGGTCAATAAATAGCTTAAAGGATCATCGACTGCCCAGGATTTGTATTAAACCTTTGCCAAATAAACTATCGCCAAGTCAGAATTCGTGTTTATTTCATGTATATATGTGTGAATATCAATTATTCATGCACAACGCCATTGAATACATAATGAGCGTTAAATTATATTCAATGATCATTAAACATAATGCGTTCCAATGGACAGTCCAGTCAACAATAAACATTCAACATAATTCAAACGTACGAAATGAATAATGGACAGTCCAGTCAACAATAACAAAACGTTTATACAGAGCGTGAACGCATTATATTCAATAAACATTGAACATAAACGTAAGGAATGAACGCATTATATTCAATTACATTCGACATAAACGTACAAAATGAATAATGGACAGTCCAATCAACAAATAAAGACTGTTTATACAGAGCGCGAACAATATTCAATAAACATCCAACATAATTCGTTCCAACGTACGGAATGAATAATGGACAGTTTAATTAACAATAAAAGGCTGTTTAAACAGAGCGCGAACGCATTTCACTGATTAACTATTGAATTTGCCCGGGTTTTGGCCGAAATAACACAGTTATACAGTTCGATAGGAATATGATACAAGAAAATGGAGAAGTGGTTTGCCTGGTGATTATAAATCCCTAATGTTTACCATTGCAGGGCCTTAACTAGCTCAGAGCAACGGGGAAGGGGGGTGGGGGTCTCAGGGGTGCTGTAAAATTGACGGACACTGTATATCTAGTTTTTTTATAGTCGCCAAATTGTTTTATTTTTGATCGCAAGGAGTACGGATCGCCTCCTTAATTTCTTGAGTTTTCTCCGAGCCCTACTGCACCCACCCACCCCACTTCACCCCAGAAGACCCCTACACATGCTAATTATGAAAATAACGATACATGATATGTTAGTCCCAAAATAACCAAGCGTGTGTTTAGTGGACGTTAAACACTCCCCCTCTCCCCCGGCTCGCTGTACTTTCTAACAAGATCGTTTCCACCAGAATAATACGACGAGGTGTAATCTTTGAATGGCATTTAGCGATTGAACATAATATAACACAACACAGTTCTATGGATAACAATTTGTATGCTTGATAACGACCAGTAAATTCATGTCGAAACGTCGTGTGTGTATAATATAGTGATTGTTATCCATAGAACTGTGTCGTGTTATACAACCAGGTGATGAGACAATTACATAGTTATGACTAACATGTGTATTTTGCACCTTTTGACGGAGAGCGGTGAAATGAAGCATAGCGACCTGTGCATAGAAAAATATTGTTATCGTGATCTCACTTACCTGAACAACCAGTTATTAAAAATGAATTGAATTAGTCCCCAAATAACCTAGTTTGTATTCAGTGGACGTTACACACACACTCTCTCTCTCTCTCCCGAGCGACCTGCACATCGACATTTTAAATATTATTATTGTAATATCTCACTTACCTGAACAACCAGTTATTAAAAATGAATCAAATTAAAAAGCATCTGTTAACAGCCACTTGATAAAGGTAACAACCAATAAATCGTGGACGTTACACCCTCTCTCTCTCTCTCTCTCTCTCTCGAACGACCTGCACATCGTCATGTTAAATATTGTTATTGTAATATATCACTTACCTGAACAACAATTTATTAAAAATGAATTGAATTAAAAAGCATCTGCTAACAACCACTTGATAAAGGTAACAATCAATAAATCGTCATCGATGTTTACAAATTGTCCACAGAAGAAATACAAAGTTCACAACAATATCCGTTCCGTAAAAAGCCTACGCAATAAAAAATCAATTCACAAAAAAAATCGTCTATAACTTAATTAACAATGTTTTAACACCCTGTTTGGTAAATAAACAACTAAATGTCACCAATCCACAAAACAAACTTTTAACTATTGGTGCGTTGAGACAGGATGTAGCATCGGTCTCTACTAACTGTTAACTAAAGACTACTGTGTATAGAGTGTCTGGGCGCGATTGTATTATAAAAATAGCTAACTCTGAACCAATGTGGTGCCACCTCTACAACTGCAGGCATACATGAAATCGTATACATAGAATAGATATGTATATACATGTATTAAGTTCATTGGGATAGCATATTAACTAGTGTTTCAGCGTGTCAATCCGTTAACAGGAGGCGGAGTCAAAGACGCCTGTTGGAATCTTCGCTTGTCTTTTATTCAGCAGGGAGTCACGGTGGCTAAGTGTGGGTAAGACACTGCCTCGCTAGCCTGTTGATCGCGTGTTCGATCCCTGCATTGACCTAGAATGTTTATCGGGATTTTCAGACGTGGTTTCCCCTTGTTGGTGGTGCAGAACGGAAGGCCTGACAAGGACAGCTGTCTAGTCGTTCGGATGAGACGAAAAACCGAGGTCCCGTGTATACATTGGCGTGTACGTAAAAGATCCCTTGGCTGAGGGAATTCGATATAAGAGTAGGCCATAGTGCACTGTATCGCGTATGCCCGTCTTCATTAGCCCAGTCGAAGCCGAACAGTAGGACGTTAAACCCCATTTCAATTAATTTCTTTATTCAGCATCAATATATACGTTTATCAAATGACGATAAAGTAAGAAGAAGAATCGTACACGTTTATTATTTCGATCCTATCAAAAAATATTGGTCAATTGGTCATTTTTCCCCACGCCTACAGTTTTACAAATTGCTCTATTATTAACTTTGACCGTCTTCATTAGCCCAGTTCGAAGCAGAACAGTTGGACGTTAAACCCCATTTCATTTCATTTCTATTAACTTTGATCATCACATTTCTTGTTATTAGATCTATTTTTTGCTTCTTTTCTTTTAAAAATAAAGTGTTGTACCTTTTGATAATAGAATGTTTAGTTCGATCAATTATCAAGAGACTTTGAACACAACGCGTTGAGTCAACTATCAATATCAGATAACCGTTTCGCTAACCACACTGCATTCTACTAACATGGTGTGTGTGTGTGTGTGTGTGTGTGTGTGTGTGTGTGTGAGAGAGAGAGAGAGAGAGAGAGAGAGGGCGAGAGAGAGAGAGAGGGGGTTTAACGTCCACTCGGCACAAACTAGATCATTTCGGGACTAACATATGGTTCAATTTTATTTCAATAATTCGTATAGTTGTCTCTAGCAGTGGCGGGGGTGGGGGGATCCGGAGGACCCGGAGAAAATCCACGAGGTTGGACAGGCGATCCTGCTCCTTGTTACGTACAATCGGGGAATCGAAACCACGCCAGTTGACTCAATGATAGACTTATGATACAACGCGCACTAATAAAGACCCCTACGTGCAAGCGAATTATTGAAAAAAAATTAAACAATATGTTAGCTCTGGCTTGTTTTCAAATCCCATAATTACTTTATAATATGTAAATAATAATAATAGTAATAACAATAATAATAATAGTAATAACAATAATAATAATAGTAATAACAATAATAAATGTGCATTTCTTGAGCGCCAAATCCATCCATAAACATGCCCAAAGCGCTTTTAAGAGCAATAAACTATATACAACATAAGATTGTTTGGACAAGTAGGTTTTTAATTGGGATTTGAAACTTTGAATATTTTGCGGTAAAGTGTTCCACAGTTTTGGAGCAGCAGTACTAAAGCTTCTATTTCCGAGTTGTTTTAATTTTAATGATCGAATGCACAAAATGTTTTGATGCGGGGATCTCAAAGTAGAAGTTGGCTGGCATACAGTTAATAGTTCTGAAAGATACGAGAGTGGTGTACCCTGTTGAAACTGGTACGTCAAATATAGAATCACGAAGTTTATACGCAAATGAATCGGAAGCCAATGTAGGCATTTCAAGACAAGGGTAATGTGTGATGACTTGCCTGTTCTGGATATGATCCTGGCAGCTGTATTCCATACCAGCTAGTAAACTGTTACAATAGTCAATTTTTAAAAGGACAAGTGATTGAACTAATAATTTTGTGTTAACTGTGGTCATGATCTTTCTAATACCGCTAATACGTCGCAACCGGAGGTAACACGATCTACACAGATGATCGACCTGAGTCTCTAAGGTAAGACACGAATCAAGAACCAAACCAAGATCATTTAACAGTACTAGAAACTTGAATGTTGGAATCTCCAATGGTTACACTTGTTTCAGATAGTTCCCTTAATCGTTAGTTTGTTCCAAACATGATTGCTTCTGTCTTATCATCATTTAATTTTAGTTTGTTTGGGGTCATCCAGGATTTTATATCCCGAGGATATAAGGTTACGGTGTTAAGAGCAGGGGTAATCTGATTTATCTTGAAGGATGACACAAGTTGTGTATCATCACCGTATGAAAGGTGATTGATGCCCTGTTGGGATATAACGTTAGCCACACATGACGAGTAGAGCAAGAACAACACTAGACCTAGAACCGATCCCTGGGGTATTCCACATTTAAGGATAGCTGTGTCAGACTTAACATCATTTATTATAACCTGTTGACAGCGGTTTTCAAAATAGGAATTCATTTCTGAGACGACTGGAGAGGATGTGATGATCCACAGATCCAATAGAATTACTGCCGTTATAGCCCCTATCCACAGAAGATCTGGTGTCGTTTAAGACTCTTAGAAGTGTGGTCTCTATGCTATGTGATGGTTGGTAGCCTGACTGAAACTTGTCTCAAAGATTGTTTATGATCACAATCTATTGTTAACAGATTTCTCAACAAATCTAGATAAAAAAGACAGGTTTAACACAGACTGAAATTTTCAGTATGTTTCTATCCAAGGTTTATCTTTTTAGTGGTGGTCGCAAAATGGCTTGTTTAAAGATACTTGGGAACACACCATTTGAAAGATTGTTATTGATGATACATGCGGGGCAAGAATCTCCGAATAATCAAAAAAAAACCCAAAAAACAAAAAAAAACATTGGTGGTTGGAATGGGATAGAATAAACAGGTGATCCTCTTCGACGATACCATCAGCTTTCTGACCTCATCCCCAGTAAAGGATTAAAAACTGGCAAGTGGTTCCCAGCACATTACATGTCTAACTGGGTCGACAGCAGCAGACGATAGAGTCGGATCTAAAACACGTCGGATGTTGTAAATTTTGGTTACAACGAAGTCATTTGCCAGCACAAGATCATTAGCACAATCAGGTAGTTTAGATTTAGACTTTAAGACCCAGGAGCGATTCCGTGAAACTCTAGAATTTCCTTGAATCTTTGTTTAAGGCAGATAATTTTTTAATACAGCATTGAATAAATAGTGTTAATAAAATACACGTGGCATGCTGACTACTTATTTCCGGCACGCGATACCCATAGAGTGGGTGCTTGACTTGGAGTAGGGTTAGATTTAAACAATATGTTATTTATAAACGAATGAGATTGAGCAACAGCTCTTTCCATAGATACAAAGAGAGAGAGAGAGAGAAATGGGGTTTAACGTCCACTCGACACAAACTAGGTCATTTCGGGACTAACACATGGTTCAATATTATTTCCATAATGCGCTTGCGCGTAGGGGTCTTTAGCAGTGGGAGGAAACCGGAGGACCCGGTAAAAACCCACGAAGTTGGACATGCGACCCTACTCCTTGTCACGTACAACCGGGGATTCGAAACTACGCCAGTTGACTCAATGACAGACTTTATAATACAGCACGCACGTGCTAACCATTCAGCCATCCACCCCACCAACCATAGATACAAAGGTAATAAAGAGGAATTAATGAAATGGGGTTTAACGTCCTACTGTTTTGCTCCGAACTGGGCTAATGAAGACGGGCATACGCCATACAGTGTGCTATGAGGGAAATTTTGCCCGGACAGCGGCACTATGGCCTACTCTTACATCGAATTCCAACTGTCAACAGATCTTTTACGTGTACGTCTCATCCGAATGACTAGACAGCTGTCCTTGTCAGGCCCTCCGTCCTGCATCAATGACAACGGGGAACCACGCCGGAAAATCTGGATGAACTTTCTCGGCCAATGCAGGGATCGAACACCCGACCTCCAGGCTAGCGAGCCTGCGTCTAACCCACTTAGCCACCCCGATCCCCTAAAGAGGAATATAAAATATGTTTAAAGATTATACAAACATTAGATTTGATGAACATGTATACAGAAATATTTTGCACAGATTTTGAAATGAATATCTGTGACTTTGTTTGATAAAACGGGAACAGCTTTAGTTAATTGTATATTTGATTCCAATAATACGCTTTCATCTCCCTGTAAAATAATTTTGATCATTAATAATTTTGCTAATAATTTTGAAACAAATGAAGACTAATTTGATTATAATACGGCCATATAAAGAAATAATGATATGAATCTTTTTCTTCATTCGGGCAATTAGAAGAATTATATTCTTGTCAGACAAGAATTGTTCTTTGAGGTGGCTTTTTAGATTACTACTATTGTTTCTTATTTGGCATTGTAAAATATTATCCTTTCTCTTACCAACGTTATGATAGGGTTTGATGTTTTTAAAAAGATATAACTTAGAGATATTAGTTTTAAACTGATTAAGATTATTTGAATTTCTGACGTAAGTAGACAGATCATTCCATAGTCGTTTAGTTCTCGGGAAGAAACTGGTAAAATAAGACATTGTTTTACATGAAGGAATTAGGAAGTTGAGATTTGGAAAACGCAGGTTGTAACTCAGAAATGAAAAATCATTTAAGATATCTTAATTGGCACACAGCCATAAATTTTTTTATAAAACATAATCAGTTTCTGTTTTTCTCTCCGTTGAAACAGTGGCTACCATCCAAGTTCTGGGTGGAGTACGCTATGATTTTTGATTATTTAAAAAGTTCCTACGAGTACTTAACGACATCAAATATTTCGGTTTCCGTGTGAGTATATGTTTTATATTTGGGGCATTACACAAAATCAAATATTTCCATGTGAGTATATTTTATGGATTTGAGGCGTTACACAAAATCAAATACTGTTCTTTT